TTCGTCTGCCACACAAGTCCACTCCCCACACATGGTGCCTTCCAAAATTAGAACTATATGTACTTCAAAAGTTAAAACCGACTGGACATAAAAAGACTACATAAAGAGCGGCACCACATTTAAGACTTACATTTTCGTCATTAGCTTTTAAAATCCACTCCTTCAAAATAAATCAAGTGAAAAAAAGCCCACATAAGCAGTGACATTCGCAATCTCCTATACATATTATGATATTAAGTTGACCGTGGTGAGGGGGGGGGGGGGGTAATATCCTACTGCTGTTTTTTGGGCGGGGGGTAATGTCTGGGGGGTAATTGACAGGGGGGGTAATTGCTCCGGGGGGTAAATACGGGGGGGGGGGTAATGTCCTGTAGCCAGGTAAAATATATCCGAGACAGCTGGATAACAACACGACCCAGAGTTTTCCCTCTTTGTCGTCGACCGTTCCACGCGTCAGATTAAATAGTGAAAAAGCAATGACGACAAATATAACCAACATTTGAGAGATGAAAACGATTTCCGGTCGTGTCCTTAGTCTCCTTAGTCTACCGAACCAGCTCGAAATGGTCGAACCGATAGAAGACGTGGTGGATCTAGGTCTCACCTCGATCCCACCGAACGGTCTGAGCGTTTCTTCCACCACGGGCTCATCCAGATTTAGGCTTTTTACCGTTTCCTCCATCCTTAGTCTTTATATTTCGAAATGTCTCTAGCTGAAATCCAACTATTGAATGAAGGGTTATAACCGAACCACTTGACTAAATACTCTTTACCACCAACACCCTTTCTTTCTTGTATAATTTGTTCGATGCGGTACACTTTTTTGTTCCCTACTTTCTGAAGCTCCTCTTTGTAAAACGAACCTTTCACTTCTTCACCCGAATCATCTTTCAAGACGTACGTTACGGGCGTTACTGAGTTAGTTAACTCGGCTCACCGTAAACAGTTCTTCCGTCCACGAAGGGGTATTACCCTTTTTAAACGTGTTTCCGCTTTGGCCGATCAGTACACGATCACCTTCGTTAAATACTTTTCGATAAGTAATGTCCCCTGGCAAGTATAAAGTATTCCAGGCCCTTTCTTGATTAGTCAAATTAACATTCACAGGGGCCATACGAATACTCCTATGGTACGAGTGGTTATAGTTGGTGATCAAGTCGTCTACAACATCAATGTAACGAAGACGATTTGTTTTTGTAAAGTACCGCCACATTTTTTCTTTTAATGTTCGATTGAATCTCTCAACTATAGCCGCTTTAATATCTTCATTCTCAGTGGTAAAGAAATGAACGCCCGCGTCTTTAAGAAATTTTAAAAATGTGTTGTTGACAAATTCACTGCCTTTGTCTGTTTAAAAATTTATAGGTTTTCTAGTAGTAAATATTTTACGTACGGCCTCCGCTAGAGCCTTACCCGTTTTTTTCTATATCGGAAAAACCCAGGCAAATTTGCTAAACACATCGATGCGGGTCACTAGGTAAGAAGCACCACAATTGTGCTTTCGTAACATGCGCATATCTATGAGATCCGCTTGAAACTGGTGATTTATCTCACCGGTGATGGTGGCGCGCCTCTGAAAGCGTCGCTGAAGAGGTTTATGTAACGTGTAGGTATCCTGATGACTTAACCATTCTTTAATTTTCTTATTTCCAATTTCAGGGTGCTTAAACACGCCGCCGTAGGCACCTGGTCTACTAGGATCATAGTAATGTCTTTTTAGTGCTTGGTTTTTTCCCACTCGTCCCATTTGGTAGTGTTTGTTTTAGTCTTCTTACTTCTGGTACGTTTCGAGGGTGGTGTTTTTTCTACGTTTGTCTTCTTTTTCTTCGAAGGGCGAATTTCAGAGTCAGGCGAGACGGATTTCGTTTTAGTTTCAGATTCTGTTATGCCTATCGTTTCTTTCTTAGGTTCGGTTATGTTTTCTTGTGTTTTTTTCAACCTCGGCCATTGGGGTATTCACGGTGGGTGGTTTCACATCGACTAATCCTAGGGACTTGTTTCTATAATCGCTAAGTCGCGTCGTGTAGAGCTGTAGTGTCTTTTGATATTGTTTCACTTTGTCGTGTGGCGACAAATCTTCCCTTTTTAAGATATGTTCCATTTGCATATCCAAGATGCGTAGACTATCGTTGAGTGTGTCGGGTGGTACATAGGGTTTTTGTTGTATTGACGCTAATATACGAGGATCCATTAAAAGCATTTTTCTGGCCATCCTTAAAATCCCAAGACACCTTTAAGTACACCGAAGACTGATCCGAGTAAATCTCCTAGGAAACCGCCGGTCTGCAAAATTTGCTTTGTTCTTTTGACGATAAATTTCTTTTTGGTAAGTTGTCTCAAGCTCGCTTTGTGACGACGCAAACGTCTCTTCTGACCCGGTGTTAGGGGAACGTTGCCTTTAAAGACATTGTGATAGCACTCGCATAACGTTTTTACGAGTTGTTGCGAAGCATTTTCGACAACGGCTTTCACGGCGGGTGGTTTGGCCCGAGCCAAAAACCTTAACATTTCACCTTGTCGTTTTACCGACTCAGACATAGTTGCTTTTATTTTGGCACGTAAACAACTTGCTGCTCGTAAGAAAAGATACAACTGCGTAATCTCAGATTATCCGGTGTTTCCTGTCGAAGGTCGATCAGCAAATAACCAAATACACCAATTAAAAACTCATTAAAACTCATAAATATCTCATTAAAATTTCGTAACTAGATCACCGATGGTGATTACGATGGTGGGTCAGTAGTTTACTATATAACATGTCTAACCCTCCACATCCGCTTCCCCCACCCTCACCCACCTTCATCCAGGTGGGGGAGTATTTTACAATATAACATGTCTAACCCTCACCCTTCACCCTCACCCTTGACCCTCACCCACCTCACCCAGGTGGGTGAGTATTTTCCTATATATCCTTTGTGAATCCGCATCCACCTTCACCCTGCGCCAGGTGGGGGGAGTATTTTACTATATAGCCTTTGCTCCGCATCCGCATCCGCCTCACCCTTCACCCATGATAACCAAAATTGACCTAATATGCTACTTAAGTATTGATGCGACTGACAAATGTTAAAAACCGTTTTAAAATACAACTGAATAATTCAATATATAAACACGTAAAATGATATAAGCAAAAAGGCTCTTGATTTACTGAATCTATTTAATTTAATACACAATCATTATAATCAACATTATTATCATCAATATCTGTTCTAACGACCATTTGTTGGGCATACGTTTCTACCATTCTCTATCTAGCTCAGTTTTTGGTGACTTCTTCAAGGTGGATTCACAATATTCTAACTATAATCTAATGAAAACTAACAGTGTTTCTTCCAATCATCTCTTCGGGGGAAGGGGTCGTGGCTCAGCCCCCCCCCCCCCCCCTGGAAGAAAGTCTACCGCTCCCCCCCACCCCGAATAAGATGGAATTTATTTAGTAAACATACACTTTTAATAATGTCCGCCCCCGCCGAAAAAAGTTGACCGCCCCCCCCCTCGATCATATCAAGTGCTCCCCTGGAGAAAAAAGTCTGGAAGAAACACTGAAAACTTATTTTTCTAAGTTTGTTTTTGCCTCTTTCTTTTGGGATTCGAATTTAATAACTATGTTGTGATTTTGTTTGTTGGTTTACGCAAAGTGTGCCTAATCCATCACAATTTGCGCATCTTTATTTCTTTGTCAACATGGTTTTGACCAATTTTACTCTTAACAGTTCATTATGGGCTATCATCTCTAGTCGCCAGATGTTCAATATACAACGCAGGCATGCGTTAATCAAAGTCTGAATTCAATTTAATTAGTTTCAATTAATATCATTGTTACATGTCGATGTCTTAGCAGTTAAGCTAGTCCTATATCTACTATACCGCCATCTAATCCACGAACCGCACCAACTATATGCATTAATTAGTGTCACCCGACTCCCAAAACCGCGTATCCCTAGTAAGGAGTTCTGACCTCGAGGTATCTCATAAATGCTAGTGTAATATGTGTACTGCAGTTTAACTATGGACTTAGAATCGTTAGACTGCCCACATGACACACAGATAATATGAGCATAAAAAGTGATGATAGCGGATACTCGCGCGCTTAATAGATCTAAGCAGAACGCTGGTTTTCGCACGCGGAGTTAGGGCCATCAGGTGACTCTCACGTGCTCTGGGTTTTGCTATTTTCTTCGGTTTTTTTTTTCCTTTTTTTTAACTTCAAAAGTTTTGTCATATTTATTTAATTAAATGTGTATTAAGAATATTAAATGGCCTCTATATATTCAGCATCATTAATTTGCTTCTTACTTTAAGATTGCTACTCTAGCCGTAACTTCTCGGGATAATCATTTACGTGTTTTTGCTTCAGAGGCTGTCGAATACTTATTTGACTTAGAACTATTCCTGTCAGTGACGTGGCAGCTGAGTATACATATTTTCTGCCTTTATGATACTTTGTAATGCCTTGACTTAGCTCTTGTGGCTGAAGACTTTACCTATTACTCTAAGATCTCATTCTCTCCCTGCATAAGGCGAAAATATATTATTATGTATGACATCATTAATAACACTTATTCTTGGTACTTAAGCGGCTCAGTTAAAATACATGATATTACTGAAGTAGCTCTGATCCAGCAACAGTTTGAATAACATTAATTGTAATTATCTATTCTTCTGTTGGTACTGGATATATTTTGTGCAAACTGAAAGACAAGGGTAAACACATCAGTATTATATATATATATATATAAATATATAAATATATATATATATATATATATATATATATATATATATATATATATATATATATATATATATATATGCCGTGTTTTGGAGGTTGTTATAATTCCGCCTGGTCAGCCATATAAATCAGGTCAAATTTAAGACAACAGTTTTCGTATGCTACATTTTGAGGTTTAAAAATTCTCTATCAAAGATAACGTAGCCCTACATTTTTTAAAAAAAAATTTCCAATAGTAATTAGCCTTAATATTTGTAACGTTTTTCAGACATTGGCTACAAATGGTGCTGTGGACGTGTTTACCAATATTATCGTCTTAAATAGTATAATTAATGTAAGTGTACTATTCTGTAAAAACAAGTTAACATGACTGGACCCGGTTAAAATATAATTAGTTTTTGAATTTGTGAAGTTAATTAATAAATTCATATGTTGTCAGATATTTCTTTACCTGTCAGCAAACAAACAGTTTGACTTCAGAGTGAATTGAAGATTAAAATATTCAGATGTTTCTTTGAATAAAAGCTTCTTTCCAAAATATATGTAATTAACATTTAAATATAAGTTTACCTGATATCATCAAATCCATTTATGAGAGCCCTACTTATAATGTGCTTATCAGTGGAATCGACCGTAATAGACAATGATTAAATCTTACGTGGAGAAATAGCCGCTAATATGAAATATACGGAATCAGTGGTGTATGTATGGTAATTTATTTTCACTGTTAATTTGCAGTCATTTGGATAAACATTTTAGTTACTTTCTCATTCATTTGAGTGGATTTAACATTACATAACAGCTACGTAGAAATAAGTTTTGTAAGACGTTTACCGTCTCTGATGGGCACCAGACTCACGTTATAGAAACAAAGGCGGTTTCGCTAACAACACTAATCATCGTATAATAATGAAATGTATCTGTTTATTGGGTTTAAGTGGGCTGAAAAGGTGTTGACCATTCATTTGAAGATATGTGTAGGAAGAATTTTTTTACATTAGAAGAAATATACGTATCATGATCACAGAAAAAGATACAGCTGAAGATAAATAGAGGATCAGTTAGTCCAGAATAATTAAACGTTATCATGCATGGTCTCTCAATTCTTATCTCGCAATTCAGAACAAAGCGTTACAGTAAAGCACACAGAATTATACATATGGCATCGTAAATTGCAACACATAGTTCCCTAATAGTGCCAAAGACTATCTCCGGCTTTAAGCTAATTAGTACCATTCGAGCAAAAGTCCCATTCGGACCAGTGTCTATTCGGAAAACGGCCATTTGGCAAACGGCATTTGGGCAAGTCTCTTTCGGCAAATTGTCGTCAACCCGTTATTGTGAACTTCAATAAAAATAATTAGTTTAATTTCTTTTTTTTAAATTTTAGAATTCTGAAGCTATGTTTTTATTTTTTTTATTTATTTTTTCATATTTGCAAACACATTTTCCATTTTAATTAATTTAAGTGGGTTGCATTTTTAAGGCGATGATATTTTAGAATAATTAGTTCCAAACTATATGTATCTGTTAAAACAAATATCACACGTTTTAGTTTCTAATAAAGTCTAGTAAATCTTGTACTATAATTGATAGAAGAAATACTAGTCTTAAAATAGCCAGTCTAGTTGTATAAAAATATTAGATTTTGTGTTAATAAATTAATGTTCGATGTTAATGTTACAGAATTCACAGTCAAGATACGTAACATGCGAACTGATTATGATTTTACACAATATTGCCCGTAGAAAAGGAACAAAGGAGTTAGTCTTCTTTGAAAAATTAAGAAAGGTAAGTCTCTTATACATACAAGCATGAATGTGTAATTGTCTATAATCTGTGTATCTGTTTCTCTTTTTTGTTTTATTACACTATTGATCCTACCGCCATAAAAGTTTGAAAGTTAAAAATATGTTCTAGTGAAGGGTAGGGGTGGGTAAGAGGGGGTTTGCCAGGAGGGGGGTGGCTACAATTTCTTTCTACTCTTGCACTCAAACTGAGGAAGATATTGCTAAGTTTAAATGCAAGTATTAATTTCGTTACGTCTCTATGCAATCAGCACGTAGTTTGTACTTTTTTTCACTATTAAACATGAGCGGCGTCACTGCTAAGTGTGCAGATGAGCGCCCTTTGTTACCGTTTTAACCAACTCCTATACAATTGTGTAATTTTGTGTTACATCTCTATAAGCTATGAGAAATCTAGATAATTGATTGATTTTGCAACCCTGTTCCTCACACCCCCCCCCTCCATACACACACACACATTCACAAAAACCACTACCAAATTTACTAAAACAAGATACCTATCTGTGCAATATAAAAGCGGGAAGTTTGTATATTTATTTATGTTTATTTTTTGTCTGTTCCGTTAGATGAAAGCACTATGTGTAGAACTGTAAAATACTTATTTGTGTTCCTTTTTTTTTAAAAAAAATGTTATTCCTACATTTATTTAAATACGATACTTAATTGATGATATATTATTTGAAAAAAACACCCCTTTAATTATAAAATTTCAAAACAACTTTTCCCGACTTAGTGACTTCAATAGATTTATTTACTTATTTTCACAAATAATATTGCGGGCTTCTATGAAGACCATGTTGCCCTTTTAAAAAACTCGAGAATACAATGAATTTATTTACAGCTATGGATAAACTAGAATCTAGGCCGATAAAGAGTTTCCATACTAAAATAGTTCATGCCGTATTTGTTTTAAATAAATCTTTGTTAAGCAATTGAATTGGCTAAATTAGGATATACTTATAATTTAATTAAAAATAATATTTGCGTAATTTTCCTTTCTTATACGCTCGCTCTAAGAACATTAACCCAATAAATTTGCACACAATCGTATAAGCCTAACTCGCCGAGGTGATACTGTCAAAAGTTATCATGCGGGTGGTATGGGTACGAGACTCATAATGTTAATTTTTCTGTGTTTAATTCTTCTTCAGGAAATCACATCAAACATGATTGGCTCTAATTTATTTTTATTAGTGTTACATTAGTTGTATTAATTTATTCTTTTATTTTTCAAATGAGGTTTGAACCAGGGGCGGAATTAAAGTGCCGCCAGACCCCGCAATGCGGGGGGGGGGGGGGGGCGCAGGCCGTTTAGGGGCCCACAGCCGCCTATAATCAATTTTTTTATAGTTAAAAAAACAGTTTTATTGTGAAAAAGCAAAAAGATCTACTACAGTAGTGATGTTCTACAGTAGCTAACACACGCTGTTTCGTAAAGGAACAAAAATATATAGGCTACCTGAGTTGTAGCGTGAAAGATGGGCAAACGTTCAAACCACTTCCATGACTTATTTCCATTTTTTAAATAGCCAAATATGTGTGTTCTTAAGAAACGTTTAATATATCTGCACTAAACAAATTAAAAAGCATTTACTTCTCTTAATTATTATTTTAAAAAAAATACTTAATAAAGAATGATATAGTAGTATAAAAAGGAAATGTATTAAAAACTAATAATATAAATACAAAAAAAAACATAAAAATAAACATAAGGCGAGAAACCATTACACATACAAAGCTTTTATGCATCATATTTTTTTGACCGACTTGGTATGAAGGAAGCATTATGACAAACATTAAAACAGAATTTTAAACAAAGCACCATCAGACACAGCACCATCAGACACAGCACCATCAGACACAGCACCATCAGACACTGCGCCAACAAACAGACACAGCACCATCAGACACAGCACCATCAGACACAGCACCATCAGAAACAGCACCATCAGAAACAGCACCATCAGACACAGCACCATCAGACACAGCACCATCAGACACACACACAGACACAGCACCATCAGACACACACATACACAGCACCATCAGACACAGCACCATCAGACACAATAACTTCAGATAATGTATTTTCAACCATCTAACTGTGCCATTTGTTACAGCACCATATAAAATCACGTTTAGTTACCATCAGGCGTTGCACCATCACACTTAGTAGGACCTGACATTACCATCAAACAAAGCACCATATGACACCATCAAACACAGTACCATCCGACACCATCAAACAAATCACCATCCGACACCATCAAACTCAGCACCATTTGACAATACCTTTCGACACTGTCATACAAGTATTCAATAGATACAAAATCATTCAAAATATCGTTTTGGAACATTTTAAAATCTATACATGCTCTATGTTACACATGGTTAATTTCAATCTTAGTTCAGGTCAAACCAACTTTCCCTAGTGCCAACTATACTATTTATTGACGATTTATTTATAACACACATCTCATGTTATTCTGTAACAAATATTATGATGTTATACTATTTATAACAATAATCCCATGTTATAATCAAACAGATGTTTGAGTTTGATTGTTATGATGCATTGAGATAATAGATTTCGCCCACATTTGTTTTATTAATAAACTAATAAATATATGTTTACCATTAAAAAAAAAAAAAAAAAAAAAAAAAAAAAAAAAAAAACAGACTAATAGCACTCACACAAGTGATTTGTTGTTGTAACACGTTTAAATTAAAAATAAAACTAAGAATTTTTTTTTAGAGTTTCAAATTTCGAACAATCGCGTATTCAGTATTCTATGTTAGTATTTTCGTATTTAGTATGTATGTATGTATGTATGTATGTATGTATGTATGTATGTATGTATATATATATATATATATATATATATATATATATATATATATATATATATATATATATATATATATATATATATATATATATATATATATATATATGGGCCCAATTTTTGTTGTTGCGGGGTGGCCCTTTTTTTTCTAGTTCCGCCACTGGAACTCAGAATATATTACAGGAATGTATCGTGTTTTTTTTTAAAGATAAAAACATGTAACCTAATGTGACATTTTTTCAGATGTGCATGATAATGTTGCCTTTCTGTATTTGGAGCTGGCACGGAGCAGGTGAAGTAGAGTTCATCAGTTTCTATGACCTTAGCATATGAAGGGATTGTGTGGTCAGAACCATGCTCAGCCGAAATCTTTGTTTTAAAAACAAAAAACATGTGACATCTTTGTAAATGTGGGAGTCTCAGTAACAGTAAGTTGGGGAAAGATTAAAAGTTTTCAATAAACGTGACGTCTTTTAAGATTAAACCCCCAAAACTCAGTTATCCAAGGGTAGTCTAGCGGACTTTTTAAAAATGTAGCGGGACTCGTCTTGATTTTGAGGCTTTATAACTTTCTTTATTTTGCATAATAATTTAGAGCGTAGTTTTAATTAGTATTCTAGATAGCAGTATTTTAGTGAATGAAACACAATAGGAAAGCATCGCTCTATATCACTATATTCAATTCACATTACAAGTTATTTTTTAATTGAATTAAACATCTACTTGATTAATTATTCCAATCTAATTAACCGTCGAAGAACTTATGTTTTCTTATTCATGCTTTGTACTACATAACTTTTAAATAGCATTGTTAAAAATAACATTTAATGCCCGTGTGCCAGGAAAATGCTCAACGAACGCACTAATGAAAGCCATTGTTTATCTATGACGTATTTTCTATGTTTACAAACAAGATTAAAAGATTAATAAGATGAAATTATTATAACAGCAATTGGAAAACAGTTTACGTTGAAAAGATAAAGCGTTTTTTATTGTTGAAAAATGTTTGTTTATTTGTGTGTGTATTAAAAAAAACAACAGTGAAAATTAAAAGTCAAACTCATGAAGCAGTAACGTCCCTTTAATAAGTACAATTAAGCGCAAAACGGTTCAATGTTTAGGGCTACAGTCTCTTAATTAGTTTCCATCCTCCGTTAATTTGTTTAAGGGTTTGTGGCAAATCTTGCAACGCAATTTTGACCCATTTCGAATTCGGACATTCATTCACAATTTCCATATACGTTCTTTTTCGAAAGCAATACATGGATTCCATTTTTAAATTTTAATTAGAGAAACAATTTAAAAATTATTATACACAAATTAAAATGGGGGATATCACGATAAAATACTAGCTGGCGATCACTTGGCCGTCTTGAGTGAACTGTCGTTTCATGGTTGGCTGATTTCACGAGGCTTGCTGACCTCTCTTTTATAGATCACAAGCTATTAAAAGAGTTTTAAAGCAAATATTTTGGTCTTAGTTGATGTGTGATCGGCGCAGAATGTTTACGATATTAGAGCCAAGTGAAGTTATTAGAGGCTATTAGGGGCAGATATTAGAGTTTTTAAACGAATTGAAACTAAGGAGGGGGGGGGGGGGTAACAAGATTAAGAAATAGTCATCTCTTAATTACATTGCTGTCGTCCGTGAACTGTATTTGCTTTCACTCCCATAACAGCTACTCGCTTTGCGAAATGGCTTATAATTAGCTTTCAGAGTTCGAAAGTTGCTGATGTTGTTTTGAAGCAAATATTTAAATATTTTTAATGGCATCCTTACATAAACGTAGAATGTTAAACAAATATAAAAATGCTTTCTAATAACAATCTTTTAAATGTATTGAAAATAAACTTTAGTCGCTAAAATATGTAAATATCTCATGAACAATCTGAGTATGTATGAAATAAAGCGGGAGTGGTCTCGAAACTTTCTCGAATATTTTTATATAACAATAAAGGTGATGGCAAATCTAGTGTGATCGATAGTTGACATGTTTTTACTTTCTCGTATATACGTAGTATAGAGAAAGTATTGTAATCGTGCAAAAAAAAAAAATCGAGATTTTTACAAATCTCGACGTTTTACACCTCACTGATACGGAAAAACATAATTTTGCAATCTTGTCCGTATGTCTGTGTGTGTGTGTGTCTGTGTGTCTGTCCGTGTGTAAACACGATAACTTGAGTACCGTTACAGCTAGGTTGATGAAATTTCATATATAAGTATTTTATCAAAATCGTAGATCCGTATCAACTTTTGAGCGATTTCCGATAACCGGAAGTGGTACTTTTCCTACTTTGAATTTTTCAAAAGCCTATAACTTGAGTACTATTTCAGATAGATAAATGAAATTTCACATGTAAGTAAAAGATCTAATTCTCTACCTTCTGTTAAATTTTGAGTAATTTCCGTTGACTGGAAGTAGTAATTTACGCTACTTCCGATTTCTCAAAAAACTAATGTAAATTTTTAAAGTACTAATAATATTGCGCACTATTATACGCGTTTTTATTCGGCGTTTGCTTGGTGCGCAATGTTTTTTTTATGAGATTCTATTCTATTTTTAAAAGTTTAAGTATTTAAAATGGATTAAAAATCATAACTATATCCCCAGTTACCATCCCCTGTTGTTTTATATAAGAATATTCGAGAAAGTTTAGGGGAGATCACTACCGGTTTATTTTTTCAATACATTTATAATACTACATTTTTGAAAGTGAATGAAATCGCGAAAAAATGAATTGCGCACTCAATAAACAGCTATCCATGTGTGTATAATAAAGGCGGAACAATATATATATATATATATATATATATAAACCAATGTATGTGTGTCTGTGTGTCTGTGTCAGTAGCGTACGCAGGGGGGAGCAGGTGGAGCGGCCGCTCCCCCTCTGGTCATTTCAGCAAAGTGTCGCCTTTTTGGAAACTTTTTAAACTCAAAGTTTTAAACAATGATATTTGTTAAAAAATATTTATGGTCGGCACATCTATGTAAATCACAAGATTTCTTTTCATGCAGCAATTAAGCATTATTGTACTAGTCTAGTAGTGTCGACGTTTACAACACGTATTAACAGCTGCATCACTTGGCAATAGCCGTGTTACGTTTAAGGCAACTGTATAATGTATTTGCTTACGAATAATTGAATTAGAAAATGTTATACATAAAACTTCACACATAATTACTTTATATATACAGTTTGAATCGTGTGATTAATTTAAAAAAAATTACAATACAGAAACAAATACAACTGATGTGACACCTCTAAGAGCAAACTGCGTAGTGGTGGGGAAATTTTGACAAGGTCAACAACGTCATCACGATGAAGTAGTAGTATTCTTACAGTTTTGGCGATAGTGATTATGATTACAAATTATATGAAACAGTTACAAGCCCCCTCCCGCATGGACCCCTCTGTAAAAAAAATAATGTCCTAATACCACTGCTACTTATTTAAATCTATTTCTGTAATATATATTTGTGTATTTTATATATTTTTGTAATATATATATGTATGTTTAGAACGGCTACAGGACATTACACCCCCCGGAAATTACCCCCACCCCCCGGATATTTCCCCCCCCCGTATTTACCCACCGGAGCAATTACCCCCTGTTAATTACCCCCTGTCAATTACCCCCCGGGAAATTACCCCCCCCTCTCAAGTTAGAATCCTAACTCTAACTAGAATTCTATACCTATATACTACTTCAATTCAAACCTTAAGAAAAAGACGAAAACCTAAGCATCCACCTTAGTCTAAAACTTCACACAAATTCAAAACCAACGCTGGACACAACCCTAGCCCTAACCCTAGCTCTAACCCTAACCCTAGCCCTAGCCCTAACCATAGACCTAGTCCTAGCCCTAACCCTAGCCCTAACCCTAGCCCTAGCCCTAGCCCTAGCCCTAGCCCTAGCCCTAGCCCTAGCCCTAGCCCTAGCCCTAGCCCTAGCCCTAGCCCTAGCCCTAGCCCTAGCCCTAGCCCTAGCCCTAGCCCTAGCCCTAGCCCTAGCCCTAGCCCTAGCCCTAGCCCTAGCCCTAGCCCTAGCCCTAGCCCTAGCCCTAGCACTAACGCTAACCCTAATCCTAGCCCTAAACCTGTCCCGGGGGGGGGTAATGTCCTACTAGGCGGGGGGTAATTGACAGGGGGTAAAATGACAAGAGGGTAATTGACAGGGGGGGAATGACAAGGGGGCAATTGACAGGGGTAATTACTCCGGGGGGTAATGTCGGGGGGGGGGGGAACTTCCGGGGGGTAATTGACAGGGGGTAATTGCCCTGTTCCCGTTTAGAACAGTCATCTAAAAACTGACGCTATGTTCACTCTGAGTTGGTTATCTCCCCCCCCCCCCACACACACCTCACCATCACAATTGTGTAGAGCGACATTGATGTCACACCTAGGTATACAGGGGGTTGGATAATTGACCTAAAGTGAACGGACAGTGGTGAATGAAGTTGAACCCCCCCCCCCCCCCAAACTCACCCCGAACGGATCTGTTAAGTAAAGTACATGTAGAAAAACGCGTAATGATGTACAAAAGTACCATGCCGCCAGAAAATTAGCATTTTAAAAACAAGTTAAAAAAAATTCTGATACTTTTCAAGAATCTGAAAAAAGCGTAAGGTGCTATTTCCAATCAACGAAAATTACTTGAAATTGACCGTAAACAGACAATTTGATATTTCACTTATATGTGAAATTTTCTCTCAGTATTCAAGCTATAGCCTTTTGAAAAATTGAAAGGTTCCATTTCCGGTTGCCGGAAATCGCTGAAACCTTTACAAAAAACTACAAATTTGATGTAATACTTATACAAAATTTCGTCAACTTAGCTGTAACGGTACTCAAATTATCGTTTTCACAGACAGACAGACACACGCAGACACACGGAAAAACTTGCAAAGTCCTTTTTGTCCCACTCGATGACGCGTCAAACGCCGAGATTTTGATAAATCTGGATTTAGAATATTTGATCGATTAAAAATAAATACCCTATACTTCGTATACGGTGAAAACTGTCAAAATTCCATGTGATTTGTGAGTATGAATACAGTACTTACTCTATACTCTGTGTATGAGAACGTTAAAAAAAGGAAAATAGTTTTATTCTCTTATTTTCAATGTATTTAGACGCTTGTTATTAGAAATATTTTTTTTTAAATATTTGTTTACAAACCTTAACAAGTCTTTCTAAAAATCTGCTTAACAAATATGAAGTTTTTATTGCATCCGCAAGAAATCAATCTAATTCAAGCACATTCAAAACTGTATTGTTTATACAGAATTCAGTGTTGAGAAGCGAGTTTTGAGGGCATGGTTCACGTTGGAAATAATCAGTACAAAGACCAATATAAATTTCTATTTCATTTATTGCATTTGAACATTATATAAACTTGAAGATGACAAACTGACGATAACTAAACAAAACAGAATGACTTGCATAATGACCAAACGATACTAAGATCACAAGATTGATGATTAACACAACTGCCTTTTCTAGATTTTCCCTTTTTTTATATATTCCCTGATCTCAATGTCATATAATATATGTCACTCCCTTACTAATGTTACAATTCATGACCTTTCGTACACACAATATACAACAAAACAGGCTATACATAAAGGTTAATAGTGGTAAACAAAATGGACGCTACTCTTAAACCTTATTTTATTGTTTACATCAACTACATTATAAAAATCTATCTTACCAATTCACAACAGTCAGTCTAGGTTAGATGTCGGCCAATTTAAACTTGATTATTAAAATCGTTAAAAATTTCCCATTGGTTACATTTTTAATTTCACTGTTTCTTTCTTGCAAATACCAGATCTAATTCAGCTGTGAGGAATAGACATCCCCCTCTTTGCTTTTATTTATTGATTTCTTTGCTTGCAAAACAACAAACACAACAACAAATGTATTTTAAACAGTTTCTATTACAACAATAATGTTCTCTCTCTTAAGTCTCACAACAACTTATTCAATTGTAATTTTGAATTGTTTTTTTATTTTTCCCTTTGTTAAAATATACAAAACAGTGCACCAATATATTATTTATCCTTGATTTTGTCTAAGTGTTTTACAGTTAATTTCTATAATTTGCATTATAAAGGTACACATGCATTAACAAAAAAAAAAGAATTATATCTTTATTTTATTTCATATTTCGTTTGTCGACTAAAATTAAATCTTTGCAGACACTGAAGGCTCTTAACCTTCCTAATGTCTATGATTCACTAGTACAGAAGATGTTGCTGTCTCTTATTGTTGAAGATTCCGATATTATTTCTACAACAACTGGTATTCTTATCGTTTGTTTATAATTTTAATATAAATTTAATTATCGTCATTACAATTTTTATTGTATCCAAAATGCAGAATAAATAGCCTCAGTTATGTAAATTTTAATGTTAAATGTTGCTATTTCCTAACGTCTGCAAATAATTTACCAATTGCTTTAAATCACGAAAGTATTAGTTATTCAAAATATTACCATCAATTTGTACAAGCGTTTTATTCTTTCATTATGCTATTATATCTATTTTCTTATATTAAACATATTTCTTTTACATTGTCTTATAATAAGGATGTTTTAAGTAATATACTTTTACATATTTTTATAGACGAAATTCAAACTGCAATTGATTACATAAAAAATGCTGCAAAAAGCCCAAATAGAAAATACAACGGTGCTCATCTTTCAGAGTTACTTCAAGGACTCGCTAAATTTGCTAAATACCCACCAGCATGTAATCAGGTAGCAAATTAAATTACTAACATCTTCATTAAAAAGCCAGAGCACTCCACCCCCCCCCCCCCCTCATACATAACGTCACACTATATTCTACACCCCCCTCGAAATTGCATTAATTTTTGAATTTTTCAAGCACTGATTCATTTCTAAAATATGCACTAAAATCGGTGAACATGGGGTATGTTAATACATTTCTATTAAAATTTTGAAAATAATTTTTCCTTAGGGCAAAATAACCGCTACTTTAAAGTAAATAGTATATCGTACTTTGTCACAAAAATCAGGTCACCTTTATTATTTGTCTAGAAGTATGACAACATTTATGGTCGACCAATGAGCGGTAGCATAACATGTGCTTAAATCAGAAACCAGAATGCAATTATTTGCATATTTTATATTGCTCCTACTTATTACACCTGCATTAGCATACTCAATTAATTAGTTATTAGCCTGATAGATACACCTTGAATAGAACTATCAATATAACAGAATTATAACATTTAGCCGAATAAGACAACAAAAGTTCATGTCTTCATGCATATATTAGGAGTAGATTTTCTTTGTTTTCATTCACAGATTCTTCCTTTGCTGGACAAGTTGAAAGATTTTCTAACTGGTGAAGACCTGGAGCAGCTGGAATACACAACTGAATGTTTGAAAGAAATGAGTAGAGATATGGAGGCCAGTAAACAAATATTAAACAATAAAGATATCACAAACCGCTTAACACACCTGAATTTTTCAGGAAACATTGACATTTCAGCCAATGTCAACTCTATATTTTGGAGATCAGGACGAAATACAGGAATTTTGTTAAATGAACTAGGTCGGTAATGTATAATAATGATGAAATGAAATAGACTAAATTCAATAGGATGAAATAACACACTTAAGGTTTAAATTTGGACAGATGCCCTAATGAATACTTGTATGTATCTAATTCGGACAAGTGTTCATTCGGGCGTTTGTCGCATTCAGACATGTGACCTTTCTGGCAAACGGCATTCGAGCAAGATCTTTCAGGAAGACGTCCGGCTCTTGAGTAAAATAAATTGTATGAATATCACATTTTTCAAATATTAGTTTTTAAATTTATTATTAATTCAAGTTTTTTTTTATCAGATAAAGTGTTATCTGATGATTTTCCTAAGGAATTTACTGTAAAAAAGGAAACGTTAGGACAAGGAGCGTTTGGTACTGTACATCTTGTCAGAGATAGAAGTAGAAAACATGAACACAAATTCGTCGCCAAAAAAATTGACTTAAGGGAACAAGCAAATATTGTGAGTTTATGAAACACAAAATCTTACGCAAAAAAATGTATTCTAAATTAGTATTGTTCAATATAACAAGTTACAACATGCGTGATCGTTTACGTCTCTAAATCAGTGTGTGCATTTAATATGGTGTTGGGTTGACTAATAATATATATAATTCACTTACCTAATAGGTATTGGTAGCCTGTGTTATTTTAAATGTGTCGGATTTTTAGTTATTTAGTTATTTCTTTGCTCTGTTACTAATATCGTTCAACTTGTAGTAAAGCATATTCCGTTTTAACCAATAATTATTTTTTTAAATATTTTTCTCAAACAAGTATAACATTAAAATATTTAGGCTGATAATTTACGTGTATCGACGGCTAGTATACTAGAGGCTAGATACATTTTGAATACTTAACTTAATTTTAAGATAATTTTAATTATTGGCATGATTTATTTTAAAGTTTAGCTTTAATTATGGGACAGGGGAGCGGGGCCTGATGATGAATCCATATTCTGTACAATGATATAGGTTTACATAATCTATTCAACTGACATCTTTAAACAAGTTCCAACTGTCGATTTAAAACAATTAAGAAATTACGAATTTAAATCGGTCAAAAACTATATTATAAGGATAAATACATGTTATATAATTTCCTATTTATTTATGTTTTTATTTTAATAAACACCTGCGTATATTCCTCCTCTCTTGTTTTCACGTTCCACGGCACCAGGCGACAGTTGCGAAGCCCTCTCATTGGCCTTAATGGTTTCACCGTTTATTTTAACTTTATCAAGGCTATGTTAAATTATGCAGATGATTTGAAAATAGTTTAATGATCTCTTTACCACTCTCTATTCTGACTACGTGGTAAAACAATTTTCATCGGAAGGACCACATTCAACTTCTGTTTTGTAAAGGCCACTTTTATAACAATCAGAATTAGAATAACGTTTTAAGCAAGTTCTCGATTATCTTGAAATCACTGAAACGCCTTTACGCGTCACCCATTGCTAATGGCAACGCATATTACAAAGAACAACCAACGAATTACACAAACACAAGACTAATATAAAAAAGATAGTTACAACACCAAGTAACAGTTTAACAGCTATCTGCATACCGATAAATAGTCTCTACTAAATAAATGGCACAGAGGTGTACACAAAACTGGGATACAATGACTACAATACAGAAATACAGTAAAATATCCATTCACCGGCTAGCATTAAAGTACGTGAATGGTGTGAATTTCGATAGAAAATTATAACATTGTTTTAATACCCAGGAATCAATCCAGGTATTTGATCAATATCGCAAATAATTTATTGAGTCCTTTCAACAAATATTCATATACATTAATATTTTCAATATATATAAAGAATTTAAAATTATATAGCAATAAGATGAAAAAAATGGATTATTTATTTTAGGCTACACTGAACAAGAAATTTACGGAAAATGAAACTTCCTTTACGTCAAAACAACTGGGTCTACTAACAGACAAGGACAATATCGTGGAAAGAGAGGAAATAAGTAAATGTTTTTGTATATTATATATTTGATTATTTGATTTTTAAAAAGTTACAAAAACGTAACTTTTTGAAACAGTAAAAATTATAAAATAACGATATTTAACAAATATACATGTAATACATTTATTTATATTTTATGAAGACGCACATTGCGGAGACGAATTTTTTCGTCAAACTTTCATAATAAAGATTTTCTCACACAGTTTTTAATATATATATATATATATATATATATATATATATATATATATATATATATATATATATATATATATATATATATAATGACTATTCAAACCTGCATAATAAAGATTTTCTCACACAGTTTTTAATATATATATATATATATATATATATATATATATATATATATATATATATATATATATAATGACTATTCAAACACCATTGCGAACTATTTTTCGCTCATTACTAACGTTTATGTTGTAACATACAAATAAATAAATATTTTTTTCTGTTGATAATTTTTGGATCAAAAGCCAAATAATGCTACTACAAAAATATACAGTACGTATCAGTGTCAGATTATCGTGTCATAATAAATAGCCCAATTTTTATACGTAGTACTATAAACAAGACGTTCAATTATGATCCCAGGTTCTTTTACACGTGAATTTGGATTTTCAAGCGCATGATCTATCATACCATTACACTAATCTAAAATGAATTCTGAATAAATCTATTTGTGAAACTAGAGTTTGATAGTGCTCATCACATTACTTCTGCCCACCCCTCCATTGAAACAAACCGATATGAACTGTTATTATCTTGCAGATTAACTCACAATAACTTTCAATTAAAAAAATGCCTGTTTTTAAATTTTAGCTTTAATATGTTACGTAAAATATTAAAGAAAACATACTTTTTTATTAAGAAAAAGTAAAACGGAGTATAAAAGAAAGATTAATACCAGCGGTAAGAGGGGACGATAAACAACTATCTGATTGGCCACTTTCTGTACTGCTTCAAGGACTAAGTAAATTTACTGAGCGAGATGAATATTTGAACGAGGTTTGTTTTTTGTTTAGTGTATCAGCGAGTACTTTTTTTATTGAACTTCTAAATATATTTTCACTAATTACAAAATGAATATTTAGCTAAACGAATTTTATACGTCAGCTGACTTGACGTTATAAAATGTATTTATTTCATATTTATGCTATTAAATCCATTCGATTGTGTTTATCATTAAACAGATTTTACCACTTGTTCCACGCCTAAAAGAAATTCTTTCACACGAAGATATAGAAGAAATTATATTTACTACACAATGTTTTAGAGAGTTGAGTAGATTACCTAAAGCAAGTGAACAAATAATAAAAGACGAAACATTAAGTGATTTGTTAAATACAGCATTAAGCAGAGGCCACAAGGATATCTCAGCAAATGTACATTCTATTCGTTGGAGATCTGGGCGTGCTACAGGAATGTTGCCATCCAAAGCAGGTTGGATTTAGTTATGTGATTGTATGTAAATTGAACTGTATGCATGTCATTAATAATTTTAAATTATTACTGTTTAGTAGCAAAGAGCAAATATATAATGAATAACAACAACGTGCACAAATACATAGGCCCTACTACTATTTATTAAATGACGTTTTAGAACAATTTATATTCTGTTTATTAAATTAAAATATATAACATACAATAATGTATGAATATTTTTATAGACTTTGTAGTTTCTGAGGAGTTTCCCAAAGAATTTAAAATTGAACCGAGCACGTTAGCCCTGAGTGGTTTTGGTAGAATTCATCTCGTCAATGATATAAATGAGCCAAAAGATGTGAAATTTGTTACAAAGAAAATGTGCAAAAAAATAAGTGGAACACGGAAAGATATGGTAAATAGAACAGTTTAAGATAATTAAGGATGTGAATAAGATTAAATTTATTTTAAATTCCAAAATAACGTTTCTTAACCGCTCTAAAATAACTTAATAGTCAAACTTATTAGAATATAATTGCTAAATAAGTTATTTATTTTAGACTCTTTTTATAATTACATTTATATAATTACATTATAATTACATTTTACCATGTTTTTTCAGGAAAGTTTTCAAAAAGAAGCGTCGATATTAATTAGACTCAAGCACGAGAGGATTGTACAATTTCACGGATTTCAAAAGACAGAAAATGAATTATTTTTATTTTTGGAGTTTGTTAAAATGGTGAATAAAAAGATCAATCAATCTATCTATAATTCCTTAAGTATTAAAGAAGCCTTTGAGACATCTCAATTTATTATCTCATAATTGTAGACTTCTGTCTCGATCCTCTGCTACTCTGATGTAATCCGTCCAATGACGTATTTGCATTCTCCTACTTCCTCCTTCTCGAACAGTGCCATGCATTATGGTTTTGTTAAAATTAAACTGTACGAGATCATAATACATCATATTAGTTATTAATCTTAAAATATGTCAGCATTGAGGCAAAGCTTAGTAATTATACGCACAAATCATGTCATACTAATATTAACTTTTAAAATATAATTGAACTTACTAGCGAAAATTTTTCATTTTTACCTCCCTATAGCCAATTATATTAAAACTTTAACTAGATACATTTTCTCCTGCCCAGACGAGCAAATTAACATGAAACGGGGTATATTTTACAACGTAAAAATAACATGAACTATGTACATGTGAATATTCGGGCAACAGGGAGAGATACTTCCGGTCAAAATATGTTGGGTCAAAGTTAAAGTGACTAAATTCAAAGGCTTTATATATATATATATATATATATATATATATATATATATATATATATATATATATATATATATATATATATATATATATATATATATATTGGAACCATAAAAGTAAACATCGCACAAAACAGTGCTTTTAAATTGCATCGCTTTGTCTAATTATATGTAATAGAGTATTGTTTGTTTATATAACCAATTATATGTATTTTATAGTTGCTAAAGTTTTTACTCTTTCGCATAACGTGAAGAAAATAATAAACACACACATTACTAAAACATATTAAACGGATCAATGTCAAATAATACCTAAAAAAGTTTGATCTACCTATATTAATAACAGTAGTGTCGAAAAATCTATTTTCTTAAAATCTTTTAGTTTTGTTTAGTTTTCTTCTGTTCCCACGTTGTTACATTAAAAAAAAAATTTACCCTGGCGGAGCAAGAATATGAAGTAGTATATATATATATATATATATATATATATATATATATATATATATATATATATTTATTTATTTATATATATATATATATATATATATATATATATATATATATATATATATATATATAACAAAAATATCGCTTAAATGTGTCTAACACAACTTATATTGGTTATTAAATTTAAATTAACAGTCCCATGTACTTTGTTGCTCTAGTTTTCAATCACTCAACTATTAATAGTATTTTAGTTTAGATTGAATTCAATATGAAAAATAATCATTCATATTATCCGCTTTAACGATCCGATAAATTGTTGATAAACTCGAGTGTATAGAATGAAATTAAGTTCTCTTTAATTAATAGAATGTTTTGTATACATTAGTCGACATACGTTACAGCTGTGAAGTCATCATTTGAGCTTAATTAAACCAATTTCATAGTTGCAAACACGTACAATGTTAGTGTTCGGCAGTTAATAATATAAAAGTAAAATATGGGAAAGCATGAATAGTATTGGAAGTTAGAGTAGATTTTTTTTCTGTCGCTTTAGAATACACCTTTCTTTTTTTAAATAAGGTAAAAATTACGTCCAAACAAATTTCGATTGGACTATAAATACAAAATGCTATCCTTTTTCCAAAATACGTCTTGAAACATATATAATTGTATATATACTATTTAAATTACGCTTATCAAATGCACGTCCTTTTCTTAGGGCACACTTTCGGCGTTTATCAAACAACACACAATTCTAAACGAAGATGTGACACGAAGGTTTACAGTGCAAATTCTTGAAGGCGTGAAATATTTGCACGAAAATAAAGTTTTACATTTGGACATCAAAGGTTAGACGAACAAATACAATAGTGTATATTATAATTAATTTGCTAAATGAGACTCAATGTGCATTACACGCATTTTCAACAAAGATAGATATTCAAAATATATTTCAAATTTCTGCAGTGTAAAAATAGTACATTTATTTAAAATGAGTAGGTTATTGCCAATATTACCAGGTAATAATATTTTGATGGCTGACGAAGCAAATATTAAACTAACTGACTTTGGACTGTCAACAATCGTAAATGAAGAAGGTGTTGAAGCAGAAAGGGGCACAACTCGATACATGGCTCCAGAGATGATTAACTGCCCTGAAGGGAGAATATTTAAACACGCATCTAGTCTTGATATATGGTGAGAAAAATAATATATTCATTGAATATAATAAATCAAATGTTTTATGCTAATGTAAAAATAAAAAAGACTCCCCTCTAGACTTTGCGATCTACTGCGCAGGTTAAATAGATTTTATATTTTTTAAACAAGGTGTATTAAGGGGTTATGTGTGAAGCGTAATGCCCAGCCGCCTAAACTTTCCTTAACGAGTGTTAGCTACTCATTAGAGCTGGGTAGATTCATGGACATTCCAATAACCTGAACTCGGATTCGAACTCAAGCTTTTCGATTTAACTCTAGCAATAGGCCAAGCAATCACTATTTATGCTTATGTAGTTATTTTATTATCCAAATTGATACAATTTTACATTCGATATGTCAAAAACATTTCGCAAGATCAGGAACACAGTGTTTTTTTAGGGTATTGTAAATATTGTAGACTTGATATTGTGTTGCATGTTGTTTTTTTTCAATAGTATCGTATATTTTGTTTCACAGGAGTGTGGGCTGTACTGTTGTAGAGATGATAACAGGATCACCACCCAATGCTACAACAACATCAGTCCAAGTACTTTTTAAAGTGGCGATGCTACAAAAACCAAAATATGAATTACCAGAGACAGCATCAGAATACCTGAAGGAATTTTTAGAAAAGACATTTAAAGAAAAAGCAGCAGAACGACCATCAGCAGAAACTTTACTGAACGAAGATCCGTTTGTAGCTGGTAAAATGCTTAATTTGAATCAGAAGAACACCATTTAGATCATGAACGATGTAATTATAAATATTATGTTGTATGCTTTGAGTTATTTTTCATATGATACATGTCTTTATGGCATATTTATAAATTAATTTAAAAATGTAATTGCTTGCAAAAAATATTTTATGTTAGTTTTTTTTTTTTATTAAGCGTGATTTTGTATAAACTAATGCGCGCACGTCGCCAGTTTATTGTTCTAATGGTAGAGCAAAATGTATTACAAATATAATAGGGTTAAAAATAAAAATCATGTACTCATTATTCAATGTAAAATAATAACTCAAAAGACATCGCAGTTTCACAAAGCACACCATACACTATTTAACTTTTTATATAATTGAATTGGCATTTACGCATCACACGTAATCTAATTTGCTAGAGATTTTAATCCTGTTTAAGATTGCAGTTATATTCTTTGAATTTATTAGCGACATTTAAAAACTGGTATGTTTCGTAAAGCTTACTTTCCTAAAAATATTTAGTTACTTATAATGCAAGTAGTTGTTCTGAAATATCTTTAAATTAAATGTTTCGAACCCAAATATTCTACAAACATAAACAAATGTCATTATTTAAATGTATTGCAGCAAGATTGTTTTCTTGTGCAATTTACCAAACGCATCAATTAAAAGTAGCTTATATTGTTTTATTGTACAAAATGTGTATGTGTTGTTCAATAAATGTGTGACTTGATCAGGGCTCTTCTGTGTTTGAAACACCTATGGTCTAGTCAGACCGTCAACATTTACACAATTTGTAGGTGTATCTTTAAAAAATTATATTATATATAGACTCTCGTAAATAAGAGCTGTAGCATATTATTATATGTGTTGTGTTTTAATTTTATAACACTGATAATAATGTTGTAAAGTACATAAGCAGTGAATTAATTTGTGCATAACTTTGTCATTTAAAATTTTACTATTATGTTGTATATGTTATTTTCACTATATAATTAAGTATTTCATGAGTTATGTAGGCGTATGTTGTTCAGCCAGTATTTAAATGCTAAAAGATAAACTAAATAAATGTACACATTTCGTTTACTTAATATATAAAATAGTATATTTCTTTTAAATACATCGGCATAAATATACTTGATGCTATGCTTTGTGAGTAATAATACTTTCTACACTAAATATTAATTTGTATATATTTTTTTATATTTTTTAAAATTTTTAATATATGATATTGTTTTAAATTATTTGCTGTTTTGATAGTTGTTTATAATAGAAGGTTTAACAAAAAAATGCAGAAAGTTTTAAATTCAATTAATAATATAATATAATTCTTTGGTGAACGATGAGTTATTTGTATACTAAAGCACACTGCTATATCGTGCTGCAATAAGCTTTAACGATATATTCTATTAAAGAAAATGGTATTGCTTAGCACGCTAGTTTATGTGATGGTTATTACCACCTTTTAACAATATTTTAAGTAGGCTTAATTTTTTCGAAAACCTAGATTAAAACAAGAAAATACTTGTTGATTAAAATGTTAAATAAACTACGCATCGAATCAAAATGTAAAAAAAAAGTAACAACTTTTAAAATTTAAAATGATGTTTCTTAGTCGATTTAAAGCTTAAATACCACCCAACATCCAGGCAACTTAAATTTTCGGCACTTTTCCAATCACGGTAAACTAAACACTACACGTTAGGGTTATTAGAAGGCTAAGTGTACATATTAAAACAAATTTTAAAATGCCGAACATGAGATTATGCCAACTATTATTTCTTATGTTATTAAATTAAAATTTCATCTATTATTTGAAAAACGTTATCCATTCTACAATGAACTTTCGAAAATGTTATGCTCACTACATGTGCCTTACGGTATAGTTATATATATATATATATATATATATATATATATATATATATATATATATATATATATATATATATTGAGAATCTTTAATTTAGTAAATATAATTTCGTTCAGTAAATACATAATTGAAAATGATATTTAACATATGCTAATTAGGCACATGTTTTTAAACTGTGTATATATCTAAAGCGGCATGCTTAAAAGTAATTGTTAATTTCTTTTAACTTGATTATTGTGTATGATGTACAGTAACTATGTATTACTTATGTATATATGACCGCCAATATGTAGTATTTTTTCTTCATATTTATTCGAGGGGACATCACTAAGCACTGTTCCTAATATCAAAAGCACAACGCATTTTTTTAAATTATATTTCTTTACAAATTACATGATTTGTAGGTAAATAGCTTTTCTTTGCTAAAAATTTCACAAATTATGTTAGTATTCATAACAACCAAAAGTTACGTTGTTTACATTGTAAAAATAAATAAAACTGAATATTCATATCATTAACTTATATATCTTTTACCCAATCATTTTTACAACTTGCAGTTCAGTTTATCATCAATAGGCTTCTAATAAAAGCGAATCATAATGTTTTTTCCATAGGATTATTTTTTTTATTTTATTAGTCGTGGATTCTTTTTTTTAAATATTTTTCACATACAATTTATTTGCTAATTATTATTAAAATTATAATTTTTAAAATATTTGATTTATAAAATAAAAATAAACATAAAATTATTATATATTAATATATATATTATATATTATACTAGGCATTCTGCCTAGCTTCGCTTAGGTTTTCAAAACATTTGATAATTTAAATACTAATTGTTTGGTGATGGATGAGGCGTGGAGTTCTTAAATCTAAACAGTAATGCTAATTTTAGAGAAGATGTTGTTGTATGTTGTTTAATATCCGCTTTCATAAAAGCATTCGAAAGTACGCAATTTATAACTAAAATGGAAATAGAACTACAGAGGTTCCATGAACAGTATATCTCACAATTTATATTACATTGACTTTTAAAATTAATTTTTTATTTAATTATGATACGTAGCTTAATTAACAACGTATTTTTTTTCTAAAACAAATGCTATACTTTGTCGTTTTCTGTTTCTGTTTAAAATAGTATACAATTATTTGAAAAATAATTATTTAAAAAGGTTACCTCCCCTGAAAATTAACCGAATGACGTATGTCTGTGTTTACTTTTTTTTTAAACAGTTACTATGCTTTTATAAGAAAATACGATATATAAACATATTTAAAGTCTACAATGGCTTTTTCTGACGGGAATAAAGTTTTTTTGTTACCCTCCAGGGTCGGTCTACGACCTCAAATAATATTAAGGGGATCAATTTATTTATATATATCTCATATAAGGAGAATTTCACTCGCGGTCATCTTTTAGCACTGGTCGAGGGCTTTGAGTCTGACCAACAGTTTTTCCATACGGCCTAGTCATCTATAGGTTAAGTAACGTAAAAATTGTGTTGAAATTACCCTGTTTTTCCCATAAAATACAAAGATTATATAGGGAAATACGACTAGTCAGTTTTGACCCATTTACGAAGTTTTCCCAGATATGCCGAGTTTTTTGTGACACCCCAAGGCGTTCTCCTACCACCTCACAAAATATCAAGGGGGGGTCGTCGGAAGAATTTTTTTTTCGTAATAGAGCTCATATAAAGAGAATTTCACTCGCGGTCACTTTTTAGCCCTCGTCGAGGGCTTTGTGTGAAACTGACAGGTCTGCCCTACGGCCAAGCCATTTACCTATAAACATGCCAAACATTAGCCAGATGTAAAGAGGGTAAGTGCACTAAAATTCGTTTTGAAATGACCCTATGTTTTTCCCATAAAATACAAAGATTATATAGGGAAATACGACTGGTCAGTTTTGACCCATTTACGAAGTTTTCCCAGATATACCGAGTTTTTTGTGACACCCCAAGGCGTTCTCCTACCACCTCACAAAATATCAAGGGGGGTCGTCGGAGGAAAAAGTTTTTCGTAATAGAGCTCATATAAAGAGAATTTCACTCGCGGTCACTTTTTAGCCCTCGTCGAGGGCTTTGAGTGAAACCGACAGTTTTCCCTAAAGGTCAAGCCATTTACCTAAGAGTATGCAAAAAATTAGCCACATATACTGAGTTTAAATACCCTAAAGTCTGCGTTGAAATGACCCTATGTTTTTCCCATAAAATACGAAGATTATATAGGAAAATACGACTGGTCAGTTTTGACCCATTTACGAAGTTTTCCCAGATATGCCGAGTTTTTTGTGACACCCCAAGGCGTTCTCCTACCACCTCACAAAATATCAAGGGGGGTCGTCGGAGGAAATTTTTTTTCGTAATAGAGCTCATATAAAGAGAATTTCACTCGCGGTCACTTTTTTGCCCTCGTCGAGAGCTTTAAGTGAAACTGACAGGTCTGCCCTACGGCCAAGCCATTTACCTATAAACATGCCAAACATTAGCCAGATGTAAAGAGGGTAAGTGCACTAAAATTTGTTTTGAAATGACCCTATGTTTTTCCCATAAAATACAAAGATTATATAGGGAAATACGACTGGTCAGTTTTGACCCATTTACGAAGTTTTCCCAGATATGCCGAGTTTTTTGTGACACCCCAAGGCGTTCTCCTACCACCTCACAAAATTTCAAGGGGGGTCGTCGGAGGAAATTGTTTTTCGTAATATAGCTCATATAATGAGAATTTCACTCACGGTCACTTTTTAGCCCTCGTCGAGGGCTTTGAGTCGAACCGACAGTTTACCCTAAAGGTCAAGCCATTGACCTAAAAGTATGCAAAAAATTAGCCAGATATACCGAGTTTAAGTACCCTAAAGTCTGCGTTAAAATGACCCTTTGTTTTTCCCATAAAATACAAAGATTATATAGGGAAATACAACTGCTCAGTTTTGACCCCTTTACGAAGTTTTCCCAGATATGCCGAGTTTTTTGTGACACCCCAAGGCGTTCTCCTACCATCCACAAAATTTCAAGGGGGGTCGTCGGAGGAATTTTTTTTTTGTAATATAGCCCATATTAGGCGCCGGTCAGTCGAGGTCAGTTTTGACCCCCTCTCCGTCGACTTTTCGGCCAACCGTCACCGGCCCTCGTGTTCTATCTCACCAAGGCACCATCGTGCCAAATTTGTTGCGCCTGCGGCGCCGGGAAGTGCCCTATCGGGCACCTGACCACTTTGCTTTATATATATAGATTATTTATATTAATAATATTTTTTTTTTCAAAATATAAAATGATGTTTTAAAGTACAACTTTAGATTTTCAGTGTATTATATATCTAGCATTTTAAAATTAGAAACGTCAAATATAATTAATTATGTGACCAAGTTGTATGCAGTGGCGGAACTCGAAAAAAAGTCCCCTGCAGAATTTTTTTGGGCCCCTATATATATATATATATATATATATATATATATATATATATATATATATATATATATATATATATATATATATTAGAGGGTCGCTCTAAATTTTTAAGAAACATATCCATCTGGTACACGAATAAATCAGAGGTTTTCTAACACACGACCTGGCCCATTTCAGTTTTAAAAGTGAGAAGCACGGACTCTCTAAATCTAGTCCAGTACACCAAACTGACGCCGATTTTTATGAGGCTTTCATCAAAACGTTACCAACCGTGTGCCCTGTTTTCAAAAAGTTGAATTAGATCTTAATGGTAACAATGTCGGCAGTTCATTTTTTGGATCTTAAGGCGCGGGTTTGTCCACACTATCAACTAGACACGACAAGGCATGCTGTAAGTCTCTCGGCGACGGCGCTCAGGATGACACTGCCGCAGGTGGATTCAAGTAGTAACCCCATCCGCTTATTCAGGATCTTCGGGCGCTAAATTACATATTTCCGTTAGGCGTCCCACACCAATATGTAAACAAATGTTATGCCTATGGCAGAAACTTTTGCTAGGCTTAAAATTAAGTTGTCTAATTAAAAATAATGATGCTATTGAATACTGCATTAATATTCTGTCACTAAAAATAATTTCATAAAATACATAGCAAGAAGTTAATATTTTTTATTTTATTTTGTGAGGCACATACGTGAAATTACTAGAGGATTGGATAATTGTG